GAGAATAAATAACATGAATTAAAAAAAGCTATATAAACTTAGTACGGATCATTCATTCTCTCGGCAATGCTTTGCTCATTTTCCTAAATAACTGAAACATATTTTATTCGAGATAAAGCGCCAAATATGACACATTTAAAGTAACCTCATATTTCTGCACATGCGTAACTGAACTGTTATCATGGGGAAAAGCACAGAATAAATCTGTATTTAACGTCGCGTCCGTTGGGGTGGTTCGGGCCTGGCAAACAATCACCCTATCTTGTCTCACATTTGTGCTCCTTGGCTTTTCAGAGACTTCATTTTGTCGGTAATTTCCTTGTAGCAACCATTGCTGCCAACATCTTTGCAAAGCAGTGTCTGTACGCTGCAGGTGGCAGCCTATTGCTCGGTATACCACCCAGCTTCACACAACTCCACAATGTGACCACATTTGAAGTCGTGTAGTTGTCTGGTAAGGTCTTCGATATTGTTGTAACGGCATCTTTAGTTGCTTCTTTACAGAATTACAATGGCAGTAACAAAAAAAGATAAATTTTATGCCTCTGTTACTGGTTTTATACTTTGTGAATTGTGCACTAGAAATGCACGCTAAGATCACAATTCCTGTTCATTTGCATGTTCAATCAAGATGTTTTTGCATACCAAATTTTGTCGCAATGGCAAAAGTCCTTCTTGGTACTTCAATTTTTTTGCAAAAGAGTGTATTTATATACTAGTTTACAAAGAAATGAAGCCGAATCATAAGTTGGCCCTTCAACATACTATTATATCTTTCTTAATTAGATTATAGAAGCTACCCAGTGATTTAAGTTTATCACAGAACAGCAATCAAAAAGTTTTGATATAATAACTTTGATTATTGTCACTTTGTACATAAACTAGAAGTGATTTTACACTACAGTGAAATTTATTTATAGTAATTATGTGGGCATAATCTTTCTCGGCTAACTCTGAATGAAAATCATTGTAACATTTTGAGAAGTCATATGCAATAATCAGGTAGGAATTCAGTTTTAATGCATGATATATGTAATTATGGCTTTGGCATAGCAAAAACCTCAGAGGTATATTGTAGTAATATTGCTCAGATATAAAAACATGCATGCTTCTCCTTTAAGTGGCATCATTATATTTTAAACTAAATTTGTGTATGTCTTGAAATGCTCAGGAATTTTTCACCATTGTAAACTGCAATGCAATATATTATAGGTCAAAATATTGTTATTTTCTAAGAAAGATGATGATTTTACATGTGATTTGAATAATGATGAGGGTTGATGGTGATGTCACAATACTTAGAGTACGTAGGGTTTTCTGAAGGCAATAAATATCAAATACATTTGAAATCGGTACAGGTCAGTTCGACGGCAATGGTTCGACGCGCGGTCAATTCGACACGAGGTAGCTTCGACGCGGGATCAGTTTGACACCATACTTTTTTTTTTGTTTTCATTTGATGCCATACTTTTTGTATTTTTATTTATTTTTAGAATAACTTTGCATCATCATTCAAATAAATGCGATGTGCCTGATATATAGTATAAAAGATTTTTTTTTTAGAAAGGCGCATAATTCATTTTCCCTGCTAAAACATACTCCAGAATTGGAAATGTGCTTGACGATATTGCATGCCTAACTTGTAAATAAACATTTGTCATCTTAAGTATATAATCCCTCACTCTGAGTATGAAGCTGTTGTTAACTGACCCCCCCATGGACCGACTTGTATGTGTCAGAGTACTGATACCTGTATGTGTGAGATTTAGGGGGTTATGAAATCGCTTCAGATTTGTCATTATCTATTGCCGATTATTAACGCATGCGCATTTCTTATTTTCTCTAAAGAGCCCCGTAATCTATTTGGACTGCAGTCGACATTTTTTTAATTCAATGTTAGCTCTTGCAGCCGTAGAAATGTCTGGAAGCAGAAAATATATGACTAAGAGAGGTAAAGAAAAGTATGAATACGATGGATATTTATACTGTTTTGTTAAATATATAGAAAATGGAGCAAAAAAATCGTTGCGTTGTGTATTTGAATTTTCCAAAACAATAAATGTAAAAGAAGAATATACACTGATGCAGTTACAGGTAAATTTTTTAAAACTTGTTCGCAATCCTGCTCATGAAGGAAATGCAGCATGCGTGGAAGTTGACCACACTTTAACATAAATAAAGCAAAGGGCTGTTGAAACACAAGAAACTCTCGCAGTAATTTGCATTGAAGAAACACAAGAACTGTCTGTTGGAGCACTAGGACAGTTTCCAAGTAGAGAAGCTGTAAGATTAGTTATTAAACGATGTAGAAAAGACATAAATGCAGCCCCGTCGCAACTAGGGCTTCCATTGAACTGACAGAAAATGATAAATATTACGGAAAAAATAACAAAAATTTTGTCATCGGCGATTCGGGATTGGGTGATCAAGATCGAATTTTGATTTTCGGAAAAGACAATGTCAGCGATTGGATTCCCAGCGCAACAAAAATTTACGTTGATGGAACTTTTAGTCTAGCATCACATCTTTTTTCCCCAGGTTTGCCGATCGTGGAGGTTTTGTATTTTTAATCATTTATGCCCCCTTACCCGACAAGGCCGAAAAAACATATACACGCATGATTGAAATGATTCAAGACAACTGGCCACTTTTTAAGCCGAAAAAAATTTCTTTCGATTTTGAAATTGCCTTAATTAACACCTTTTCAAGCAAATTTCGAAACGCAGAAATTCAAGGGTGCTTGTTCCACCTTGCGAAAAATATGAAGGGCAAATTAGCAGAATTCCATTTAATGAAACGATATAATAACGATGCTGAATTTGCTCTCTATGCACGTATGCTTCCTACATTAAGTTTTCTATCAAAGAACTTGAAAATGCTTTAGAAATTTTGAGTGAGAATTTACCTAATGAGTTAACCCCAATTTTAGATTACTTTGGAGATTATTACGTTGGAAGGATTCAGAGAAATAATCGTCGCCGTTGTCCTACTTTTAAACCAGAAATGTGGTCATGTTATGCTAGAACCTTAAATAACGAAGGACCCATCAATAATTTCGCGGAAGCAGCGCACAGGCATCTACAGTCCGAATTTGGTATTTCACACCGCACATTATGGAAATTCATAGATGATCTCAGACGTATTCAAAAATCGAAATGTTTCAATCAATGTTATGAACAATTTGTACGTGGAGATGAACCGCCGCACAAGCAGACTAGGTATCTGCGAGCTGATATGAGAATTAAAGTAATAGTTGAAGATTTTGAAAATCGAGAAATAATGGAATACCTGAAAGGTGTGGCGCATAATTTTGCAATGGATTAGTATAATAACAGTTCTGTGATGTAATTTTATTTATGTGTAATCTTATTTATCTGTAATTATATTTGTCTGCAATATAACTTCTTTGTAACCATACGTTTATTTACCATTTCTGTATTTTGCCTTTTTGATGCTGTTTTGTGAAATAAATTAAAAAAAAAAAAAAAAAAAACCTTCTTCATGTCCCAGGGCCTTGACGTTGGAGAGGGGGCTTCTCACTAATCTGGGACACAAAAAAAAAAATCTAGAACACTTTCACACATATAATTTATTTCAAATATGCATGCAAACAATTGCTAATTCAATAAATAAAAATCAGTCATATTACTTATTTATATTACTTCATATTTATTCTAAAAATAAATAAAAATACGAAAAAAATATGCCGTTGAACTGCCCCTGCATCGAAACGACCTGCTTCGTTTGAAATGGTCACACAGATTGCATTAAAAATGCTTAACATTAATCACAGCAAATTAGTAAATCAATTATCATAAAATATAAATGGAATTATAATAAATGCAGTCTTATAAAGCTGTTCATTTTTCATTTCGACAACACTTTTCTGTGAATCTGAATAAAATTTCTCTCCTTCTTTCACCTAAATTTCAAGTGGGGGAGGGGAACTGGAAATATATTCCCAGGCTTTTAAAATTTATTTCTAATATGATTAAAAAAATTGTTTCTTCATATCTAAAGAAGAACAGATTATTTTAATGAATATTGATGGACTGAGTGATTTAACAAATTTAGAAATATGTAATTGATATGCTTATTGCTTTGTTTAAAAAATAATCTCTCTCTCTCTCTCTCTCTCTCTAGTGACTGCTTTCAAATATGATCACATGTAATCCCAGATGATGTTGATCATCGATGGAGATGATTTCTTAGAGGTGATTTCAATGCTAGTGTTTATGTTCTCAAAATTACAGCATATTTTGAGCAGTAGTTATCTAAGAGGAATGGGCACTATATGAGGGTTCAATGCATATTATTTAACTTTTTGTAAAAGAAACTGGATAATATAAAACCATACAATTGCATCCAAGTGACTAAGCTAGTTTAAGAATGAAGAGATAAAAACCACTGAGAAAAATATATGAAATTAAACAATATGAATTTCTTTTTAATCAATGACCACTTATAAGAGCCTAGCAAAACAATTTAATTATTAACTTTTATTAACCTAAAAGTACTGAAAGTGAAAATAACATATTTGATATTTAGCATGCGAGCATCTTTATAGGATTTAATATGATATCCCTATTTAACTCAACCATGTATATGAACTAGATGCTTCCTCTCACAGATACTATACTTAATTTTTACAGGTACCTAAGAAAAAATGAATATCCCTCAAATTAAAAATTCAACAGAAAATTATCAGAATCCCCCCCTCCCGGAGTTTTAAAAGTTCTGATTGTACCTCTTCCCCCCCCACACACACAAACACTAATCAAATCCAAATTATTTTATTTTGATGCAATACCAACTTAGGGAATAATTTATGTAAACATAGAATCAGATTACTAAACCTAATCGGGTTGGAAGTTATGAAGGCAAATAAACTTATGGTCTGATATGATTCAGATCAGAAGAATTTAGTATGAAGAATAAACTTACTTTTGTTTCAGGTTCTAAGGCTGCTGCTGTATTCAAACAAGAAATGGCTTCTGTTAGCAACCCTTGATTAGCTAAAATCTTTGCACCAATAAAAAGGAAAAAAAAGCAAATATATTCCACAACATAATTATATGTGGTAACATGAAACACACACTATTAATACTTTAAAATGATTCAAATTATGAAACTGTCTTGCTTTTTCACAAATTATCATCTATCACCTGTAAATAATTAAGAATTAAGTATTTTCATTTCTACTTTAATACATCTAACTGCTATGCATTAAATTATTAAAAAAAACACAAAGAAATAACTGCTTTTAGTTTGTATAATACTGAAACAGTTTATGTTTACGAGGTTAACAGATAATGTTGCCACTGACTTCATAACAGTCTGCTTCTCTCTTTCCCATGACTTGTTTTAAGAAGTGGCAACAAGGAGAAATAGAATAAATTTGAAAATAACGTCACTTTCCAGAATAAATAATTTGTAAAATGAGATGGTTTTTATTGTGTGAAACCTGCAGTTTAATTTTCCAACATGCATTTCCTGCTCTCTCAATAATTCATTAGTTGAAATGAGGAACATAGATACTCTTAGTCAGTGACTTCAAATTCATCATTATCAGCAAATATTAATAATCAAAGTGCAAAATAAAATATTACATCACTATTAATGTAGCAACAATATTGTTATAAGCTACAATAATAAAACTTTCTTGAAAAAAAAAAAGGAAATTTTGTTTATATTATTTGAAATAAACTAATGAATAATAAAATAAATGTTTAAGCATAATACCATTTTCTGAATTTTTAGGCATATCTTCTTGCATTCATATTAGCACTCACTTAAAGTCAGAAACAACATCTGCTTTAAAAAAAAATTAAGTTGTTAAAAAATGAGCTAGTTTTCAAGATCCAAATGTGTCATAGCAATTTAGCAATCCATTTGAATGATGTAATAACACATAAGACTGAATTCAGTAAAATGATACACAAGCAAATAAATCAAATCCTGGATTACTGCATATTTAAACAAAGGTCGCAATGGCTATTGCAGTGATAGTAGCTGAACAGATTGGTGTGATTAAGATTTTTATTACAGAACTAATTTCATAACATGAGATCTACTCCTGCAATATTCAATGAATACTAGATTTTAATGCAAACTAATTGTCAAAATGATTCAAGGAACAACATGTCAGCCACAGAGGTACTATCCATAATTAGGTAAAATCTATATGCCACAAACACTACTCACAAATGCACAAGCTGGAGCATGTAAAAACCTACAATACAAATATTTTGCCTCCGAAGTGAACATTAGTCATAACACAGAGCAGACATTTATTAGCCAATGCCTGAAATATCAACTGCTTTATGCCCAACTGATTTCTAAGGTTCTTAAAATGAGCAAAATGAATAATACAGACTAACTCCCAAATTCACATATATTACAAGAAAGACAAGTTTCTGCATTGAACTGCCACCATAAATGAGCCCCTATTTTAACCCTTAGTTACATAGGTGGCGCACAGAGTGCTACAGTCCTTGAAAACATTTTCGCAAATTCCAAGAAAATCATGTGACTAACACCTGCTGCCAAGCTAACCTTTGTCCATTTATTCGTTTCACAAAAGGGAAGCCGTAAAATGTTGAAGGTCACAGTTTCCCGCGTTTAATTTTCACGATTGTCTCTCGTGGCGCACAAAGTACTACATTTGTGTAACAATGTATTTGTTTTTCAATTTTTGCATGATTAGAAAGTAATATTACTGTTCATAATACTTTAGAATTATTTAATTTGTCAATCTTTCAAATTATTTACTAATATACAAAAAGATAATACTTAAATTATTTAATTTCTCTAGCTTTCAAATTATTTACTAATATACCAAAAAAAAAAAAAAAAAAAAAAAAGCTGACTTCCTTATATTTATTTCAAGTTCAAGGAGAAAATATTTCACCCTGATGATTATGCCAGACTTCTTCAAGAGTTATCAGATGAAGAATTAAGCGAATATAATGTACACTGTAAAAATCACATGAAACAAATAGATTGATTATATGTGTATAAATTGTTATAACCTTCTTTTTTTTTTTTTTTTTTTTTTTTTTTTTTTTGGTCAAATCTATTTCATTCCAGAATTTTTCTTAAATTGTATATAGACATTATGATGATCAAATTGATACAATTAGATTTTTATTTCATTGCTTAGCATACATGTTATTTATTTAAATATTTTATTTACTAAATAATATTAAAAAAGACGCCTTTATGACTGAAATATTAACTGGTGCATTTTATGCGCCAACTATGTAACTATGTAATTTTCCTCACCTGTGTAACAAAGGGTTAAATCAAGGAAATGAAATCACTGGCTTCATTGCTTTCTGAAAGCTGTGGCTATCACCTCCATGAGAGAGTTTTGTTCCTCTTTAATCTGCCAGAAATTTTACTCAAAATTTGCTACACTGGACAGACAGAATATTATTGCACAACAGAATATTATTGCACAACATTTTAGCCAAAGGCAATCAAGCACAAAGGCTGTAGTGCAGTGTCCATGAGAAGAGGGTCGTGTTATTATAGAACAATGTTGAACCATATACAGCCATCATGGAATGTAGAAACTCAAAAGTTATCTTACACGATGTAACTTCTATCAACATTGATTTTACATTTTACCTCACAAAAGCTTTCCACTTGGGCTACCTTACAATAGGTTAAGTAAACCCCATAATTTAAATAAAAAATTCACCGATACTAGAAATTTGTTAAATTGAATAATACTTTCCAATTAACAGTTAACACATTGAATGCCACGGCACTTTTCGGATTTCGGTCCGAGAAGCCAAATCGATTTAATCATATTACAATATTAAAAATACTAATTTTGATTCATAACAATCATTAAAAAGTTTACAGAATGCCCCCTCCCAGAAAAAACGGTCTTGCGAATTATCTCGTAGTCGGCTTTTGTTAGCCAAACCTCTTCGCAGAAGCCCACTATGAGTTGATTCATACAGACATGTTTTGACTAGTCACCTCGGTATAGCTAAAACAAGCACTAAGCGAGTAAAGTAACTCGTATCGGGCATCCTGAAGAAGAGCGCTAATACGAGTTAACACGTGTTAAATTACTTCCTGAAAGTTTTCTATAAATTTTAAAGAATAAATACAATCAAATGGCAATTAATAAAATCATATTAGATAAAACAGCACTAATTATGAACTCAATAACAGGTCTGTGAAATTGCTAATTGTTCATATGCATGTTTTGCATGCACAATGTATGTTTTTCTAATCAGCTACAGGTACATATTAAAAAAAGTTCCTTTGCTTCAAAACCATGCTATTCAAAATGCTAAAAACAATTTACAGTTCTCATAATATTTTCCGTCTTACTTAGAGAAATTTTATAATTTTAGAGTTAAATGTTAATGTCAGTAAAATTACTTTAAAAAAAAATCACCAACCTTTGCTTTCCTAAAAAGAGCTTTCACATTTTTTGGCTGCACTTTGAGAACTGATTCAACAGATTTAAGAGCTGAATTATAGGCACTTAACTGTAATATAAAAAAAATAAAACTACATAAGCACAACACAGAATATTTCAATATATTCAATACTGCCTAAAGATACGTGCAATGTTATTCTATTACAGTACATTAATTTTATATACAAGGTTATTTACGTTAGGTTATTTATTAACAGATGATGTTGCGAGCACTTGCTTGCTACTGATTTCATGACAGTCTGCTTCCCACTTCCCCATGATTTGTTTTTGAGAAGTGGCAACAAGGAGAAAGATTCAGACTGTTTTAAAAATGAACGAATATTCACATAAATTTTAATGTTTGAAAATAATGTCAATCTCATGGATAAATAATTCCTAACTTTTTTTTTTTTTTAATCTTGGAAAGGAAAATGTTTACAAATTAAATGTTAATCCCTAAACATTTTATGAGCATGTTATTTTTTAAATTGGCAATTGTTGTTGGTACGCTGACCTTTACTGAAACTTTGGCTTCATTTTTTACCTCTAATCTACATTTTATAATACATCAGTTCTATTAACAGTTGGCCAAACTGTTACAGCAGAAGATCAAAAATCAGTGCTGCTTTGGACCTGAAACTATAACGATTGAGTTTTGTGGATTTCAGGTCATAAATACAAAATCATTAGACTGAAAAGGGAATTTTTTTTTTTTAAAGAAAGGCATATAAAAGTAATTTCTCTTTGAATTTTTTATAAAGAAATATTTATTAAATATACTACAACTTTAAACAAGAGGAAACAAATTTGCACGTGAAAAATTACTTTTACATTTTTCAAACATCTATTTATAGTAGTTTATTTCAAATTTTATAATGCTACAAGTTGAGTCTCTCTCCCCTTAAATCACACATCATCATTACTTCCTGCTCAGTCACACAGTTTTGCTGTTCAAAATTTATTTTTCCACAATGCCAAATGATAGAGGTAAAATTTGCTATGATACTCATGGTCACAAACTATCATCACAAACTCATGCTATATAGAAACTTATGCTATATGCTTACTTGATGAAGAAAAAATTATTTGCTAGAACTATCTGCAAATGAAACAAAATATATACCTCCTAACTAGAAGAGGTTCCCTTCCTTAACAGTATTAATAAAAGGAAAAAACTTTTTTTTAAATTAAATAAATCATTATTTACAGTTATTATTACATTTATTTTTATCATTTATTTATTAATTAATCATTATTTATTAAATAACAAGCTGACCAGTAAACCCATAATAACAGTAAAATATTAAATCAGAAGTCAAACAACAAAAATCAGCGTTATATTTACCAAATTTTCACAGGACTAGTTTCGATGGTTTTACCGAACCACCATCTTCAGCTGCAAAACCGCAAATGAATCCATTTGCGGTTTTGCAGCTGAAGATGGTGGTTCGGTAAAACCATCGAAACTAGTCCTGTGAAAATTTGGTAAATATAACGCTGATTTTTGTTGTTTGACTTCTGATTTAGTATTTATTCGGCGTGTTATTGTGTCTTAAGTAAAATATTAATCAAGAAAAACTTAAAAGCCTTAAGATGCTTCTTTTTAATCCTTTAAACTGTTGTTTAACTTTTTAACATGTTATGCACAGGAGAAAGCTTAACATTAATAATATAGAAAAATACAGAAAAAACTATACAAAATTAAATTTATAAAATCAGTATCTGAAACATTTTAAAGTTTACATATCTTTATGTCATTTATGTTATACAAATGGCAAAAAAAGCCCACTATGGAAATATAAGAAAGAAGTTTTGCCATATTAACATACATATATATGTATATAATATATATACATAATACAACATCTGAAATCCTGACATCCAATAATTGGAATGATTACTAAAATGATCAGGACCTCCCAATAGACTTAAAAAAATTTTTTAACCTCCCACATTGCAGAAAAGGAAAATAATGACACTCAAAAGCAAGCATGCTATATCTCAATTTTTAGCCCAATTAGCTGAGATTAACTTTTGCTTATTATCTGGTCTTGAATGATCCTGCATGTTGTTTAACCTGTCAGCTAATAAACCATTTTTTAATTTTTAGCTCTCAAGTGGTTGTTGGAGGCTGATGCCGCATTTTTCTAGCTTGTTGGCAGGATACCAATAAATCCAAAAACCAATGTTTGTTTGGAGTGGAATGTTGCACATACTGGCTTTCATTTGTTGGCGTAGTAGAGAATAGAGATATTGAAAGGAGAAAGAATTAGATCTTGATTAACCTAAGTACAGCTATAACCAAGAATTTTCATGATTTCATCCTTATTTTTTGTTCAGTCTATTATTATTACTATTACCTTACCAAAATTAAAGTTTTAGTAAAAGATAACATCACTGTTTTACTCACTCTCTGAATACTGTACATCCGTCAATAAACCAAAAGGTATTAATAGAAAATAGCCATTCTGGGTAACATTCATATTTTAATTTCATGAGGTTATTTTTTTTTTAAAAATGTTGGGTATTTTTCCGTTTCACCGGCACAAACCTCGCCAAGCAGACTTTGTTGGCGACAGCATGCAGTATACACATAAAAAATTTTAACAAATGTTAGTTTAAGAATTTTTTATTTTGAAGGCATAAACAATTTAATATGGTTCAAAATTTTGTAAAAAGCCAATAAATAAAGACAATTTGTAAAAAGACATTAATTTAAGAATTTACTATGCTTTTATGATTTGACATCCTGATTCACCGGTTTATATCACGTGACCCATGTGATCTTATCTCGCGTAAACTACGCTATAAAATCTAATTCTATCAATAATTATCTACATTAATTTCAAGTTAAATCTTAATTTGGAATAAAAGTTTAAATGCAAGAATTATTTCAATTTGTATGAACAGCTTACTCAGAAATTACGTAAAACCGCAGTGCTTTACTTCGCTAGTGCATTCTCATTAGAATTGATGAATTCAACCCTTGACTTTGCCTTTTCTATATTTTCGCCTTCGGGCGAGTGGTGTGATTGCAGCCTAATTGACTTAATTACCACGAATAGTCTTAGGGCATAAAATTTAACTATAAAAATTCTATGTAATTGTATGCCAGTATTGAAAGGAACAATCAATCTGATAAGAAATGGCTGCAACTTGCTTCGAAAATGAAGTGTAAAAGGTTACCAGCAAAGCAAAACAGAAAAGTACCCCATTGGTGACAATCAAATTGGTGACGCCTGATGCAAAGGAAGGGGAGTAATGTTACCCGCGTCCGTGATTATCTCACGTCACCCCTGGGTCACGCAAGCTGAAGGAACCAAGACAACAGGAAAAATCAATTCTTCCGCCCAAGGATCCTCCGAGGAAACAGCTGATGAAAGAAGGGGAGACCGAAAAGGAGTCGGAACCAGAGCTTTCTTTGGAGGCTCTGGGGAAGACTTCTGAATAGTTTTCCCCTGTCACGACTTCCTTTGAAGTCATGGGTTAAGGATGCGGCTTTTAACTCTCTCCTAAAATCCTTCACGGTAAGTTCTTATATCTCATTTAACCTGTTTTAATGGCTACGGTTAGACAGCTAAACCTGCAACATAGCAGAGCAGCTTCATACAATTTAGTTGCTCATTTATTATTAGGTAACGCAAGGCACTTTTGTTGCCTTAATTCAAGAACCTTGGGTGTACAAGGGTAAAATCCTTGGTAGGCCCATGAAAGCACGCTTCTTTTCGTCAGAGGGACCTAATAAAAGACCTAGAACTAGCATTTACGTTTCTAAAAATATAAAGGCTATGAAATTATCTCAATTTACATCAGAGGACTTAACTGCTATTTTAACTAAGGACATAAACAGTTCACTGAGAGGAAACATTTGTTTTTGCTCGGTTTACATGGCTTATGACCGTAACATTCCACAAGAATTTATAGATCTTTCGAGTTTCTGTGAAATAAACAATATTCATATAGTTATTGGTGGTGATGTTAACGCTCACCTCCTATCATAGGGCAGTTCTGATACCAATCCTAGAGAAGAAAAACTCATGGAACATATAATGAATACCAACCTAACTTGGGTAAACAGGGGAAATCGCCCCACCTTTGTCAACAGAAGAAGAGAAGAAGTCATTAACCTCACACTAACTTCTTCTGATATTTATAACCTTATTGAGAATTGGCATGTAAGTGACAATCCCTCACTTTCAGACCATCGCCTTATACAATTTTGTATTAGAGATGAAATTCCAGCTGAATATTTCAGAAACATTAAAAACATAAACTGGAACTTTTATAAGGACTCCCTGGTTTCTGTCATTAACCTTCAGGTTTTAGACAATAATTGTTCAGTCGTTATAAGACAATAATTGCTTGATACTCAAGCAAACAACCTGACAAATATTCATTATTGAATCTTATCATACATCATGCCCTTTCAAACGAAGGAAGTACTCTTCTAGCAAGAGAGTCTGGTGGACCAAGGAGATTGAAAGCCTCCACCTAGAGGTTCGGAGAGCTTACAGGAAAGCAGTCAGAAATAAATCTGAAGTTAACTGGTCTAACTTCAAAATTCTATAAAGGAAATTTAAAAGTGAAATCAGGAAAACTAAATACAAGTCATGGAGATCCTTTTGCACAGATATTCTGTCCTACCATGAGACTGCCAGAGTACATAAGATTCTTAAGAGATCTCAGGAGTCTCAACTCTCATCGGTTATGTGACCAGATGGTAGTTATACTATACTATAAACCCTTTGGATACACTTTCGACCATGTTGAATTTTCATCTGGGAGACACAAGTGTCACCTCTGACCCCCAGGAAAATCCATTGGAACTACTTCATAATCCATTAGACTTGGATTTTGCTAAGACAATAGTGAACTTTGAAAAGGCTAAAGTGACCCTACATGTATTTCTTCCCTTTAAATCTCCAGGGAACGATTGCATTTATCCAATTCTGCTTCAGCTCACCAGCGGCCGAGCGGTAGTCGCCGAACACTGATAGTTCGGTCCGAGGTTCGAATCCCGCGAACGGGCTGGCTGCATGGGTGTTTTCGTGGTTTTCCCCATGTGTAACGTGTATACGAGCCAGTTTCCCTTAGAAAGTCCTCCACGAAGGCATCCCTCCCCTTAGGCAGATAGCCCTCGAGGCTTTGCCATAATTAAATAACCTAACCTAATCAATTCTGCTTCAGAAAGGCTGAGATATTTTTGGCCACATTCTCGTGGACATATTCGAATCCAGTTTGGTTTTAGGATATGTTCTTAAGGTGTGGAGAACTTCACGAGGTGTGGTTCTTCCCAAACCAGGAAAAGATACATATGAGAAACCAAACTCATTTAGAATGATTATGCCAACATCCTTCCAGCTCAAGCTGTTGGAGTGATTGATTTTCTGGCACCTCCAGTCAGATAATAATCTGAACCATACTTTTGGCTTAGACCAACACAGTTTTAGGCCTGGCTTCTCCACTGAGTCAGCCCTACACCAACTGGTGTGGAGAATAGAAAAAACAATTATAGATGGACGCTTTGCCATTGGGATTCTACTGGATATTGTAGGATCCTTTGATAACATCCGTTTCGAGAAAATACATAAGGCCCTTATTGGAAGTCATATTCATCCTATGATAACTAGATGGGTCATCTTTATGATTAAAAACAGGAATATCTGCGTTAGTCTCACTGACTGTGAAGTAAAGAAAGATACTACTAAACAGTGTCTACAGGGTGGTATTCTTTCTCCGTTCCTGTGAACCTAGTATTCGACTCACTCTTAGTACTTCTACGGGAGACTTGCTTGCCTATGCATTAGTGGGGCTTTAAACAGTACTCCTACTGTTGCGTTAAAATTTTTATTGCAAATTCCACCCTTGAAATTATTCTTCAGCGGAGAAGCAATTAAAGCCATGTATAGCTTGAATAAAAATGGCACATGGTGCTAAAGGACAGGTTTCGGTCATAAAAGCCACCTGAAAAGCCACATTGACATAAGCCTGGATTTGGGCAATGAGATCCCTATAATCTATATGGCCAAAAATTCAATTACTGAAACAATAGTTCCAGATAAATTATTCTCAACTTATATACCAAAAAGGAATGAGATAGAATCTCTAATTGACCTAATTCCAACAGGATCAATTGAATGTTAGATCGATCAAAATCCAATTTCACTGGAGCTGGAGCTATTTTATAAGAACCAAGGGATCTGGAGAAGATTTCATTAGATTTCATCTATACCTTGGTAAACTAACAATTGTTTTCCAAGCCGAGGTACTGGCGATAAATATGGTCGCCAGGGAGATCTTAGCTAAACATACAGTTGATAAGAATACACATATTCTCTCTGACAACCAATCAGCCATCCTTGCCCTGGATAATCGTGTCAAGTTACAAAACTGTGTTTTGAACTGTACTCAAGATTTCAATTCTCTGGCTCAGGCCCATAACACCATTAGTTTAGTCTGGGTCCCAGGTCATTGTGATTTTGCTGGAAATGTACTAGCTGATAAAGTAGCTAAAGATGATTCGCAACTACCCATGTCTGGCCCAGAACCATTTTACCCAGTTTCACATCAAACTGTTAAAAAAGAAGTAAGAAGCTGGATAAAGAACAAACATGATGATATATGGTCTAAACTACCAGACTGTGCTCATTCTAAATTGGTGCTCAGTACAGGTAAACTCATACACCTCAGTAGAACTAACTTACGCCAAGTAATTCAAATTGTTACCGGACATGCATATCTGGCCAAGCATCTCCACAAATGTGGTCTTGTCGAATCTCCTTTCTGCCCAGCTTGTGGAGAAGAAGAGGAAACACCTTTTCACTTCCTGGGACGATGTCCAGTGTTTTCTGTCCCTAGAAACAAATTCCTTGGGTTTCCCTATATTAGCTTTGATCAAGCCCTTCTATACAAAGCGCTCTCTGGCATAATAGGGTTTCTGATGTATACTAAACACCTACAGGTAAGGTAAATTTGAAACCACAAGAAACAAGCATTGAGACGCCCTGCGAGTTCTTTTTTTTTTTTTTTTTTTCCCTTTGTAAAAGAAACTATGCAGGGATTTCCCTCTCATAGCTGTATTTTGGAATATAATTTGGAAATAGATATCAAATCTTTATATACCACCTGGCCATTTGGATTGAGAAAGTACCTCTGCCCTCCTTATTAATTAATTTATTTATTTTAGCCTCACCATCGTACACTTGTTTTGTCAAGAGTTTGCGTTTGGTGGTTTGGGAGGGATTGAATCGGCTCTTCATCCAATTGGAAAGTTTTAACAATTTAACCGACACGCTGAATTTACTGTTGGGAATCTTTTGCTGATACTATATATTTGGTGTCAGTTTGTGATCTTATCTGTTTATTTATTATTTACCTTTCACTGGAGTTACCATTGAAAACCTTTGATTTAAATGATCAAATGGCGGAAGAGCAATGGGCAACATTGCCTAAGCTCTTTTCCTTCTTTTCATAAGGAAGCACCACTAATGTTATCTTATGATGCAAAGGAAATAGATACACACAAATAAAGGCACTAAGCAGCTTTGATAAAAAAGAACGAAATTTTCTGACTCATGAAACATGAAAGAAAGTAAAGAAATGAAAAGCAATGCTGAATGCAGACTTTAGTTGTAACTCAAGTCTTTATAATGATGACAATGTCTTACTAGCAATTAATTAACAGATGGTGAAATGTGTGATATGGCTTAAAATCTGGAAACCAAAATATAAAATCTGGAACTGCGATTGTGAAGAACATCATGAAAAGAGGTTGTTGAGAACGAAAAGATTTCAAATGATCGCTTAGTGGGAATTCTCAATATGACAAAGAATGAAACTTTGTAACTCAAAATCAAATCTCTAAAAATTTAAAGAGAAAGGGTTAACACATAAAAAGAAACTGTTTAAACTACTTATACTGAAAAAAATTTTAATGAAACAAAACAAATGTTACACCGAGGGTTTTTTTTTTTTTTTTTTTTTTTTAATTTTATTTTAGTTTTCCTTAACATGATAAATGCTTCATTATTTTAAACAGACTTTTATATTTTTTATTTTATAATTTCTACATGTAATCAAGCTTATTAAATTGATGATCGAAAATCCTGACATTTCAAAAATTTTTTGCTGAAGTCCTGATGATTCATGATCTCAGATTTTGTACTGGATATACAAACACACATATATATAGACATACAAGGTCTTCCAGAAAATTTATTTCATAATGTTATCTCAAGCTGCAACACATATGCCAGGTGTTCATTTAATCCTTATATGGCCGTCTCTTTTCATCACTGCATTTATAAACATCTTCTAAATTAACTGTTTCATGTAATTATTAAGTAAGATGCAACAGTGCAAATACAGCTAAAGTTCATTTATAACACTGTATTTTGTACGAATTCTAACAACGACGAAGCAATACAAAAGCGTATTGAAATTTGGCGACAGTCTTTGGTCAAGATGCAGTTTTAGACACAACATGCAGGAGATGGTTTGAAAAATTTGAAGTAGATGATTTTAACTTGATAAGCCACACTCTGCGCAGCTATCTTTGATCGATGACGATATTGTCAGGATCATGGTAGATCAAGATCATTTTTTGACAATAGTAGAGATTGCAGAAAAGCTTAATTCAACTCAACAAACCATTTTGGACCATATTCAGATACCAAGATTGGTCTACCAACATACCAGATGGGTGCTTCATGAATTAAATGAGAAAAATTTGCATAATCAAGTCATCAGATTCACATTTGTGCTTGCTTGGAATAAAAATGAATCCTTTTTGAAGCAGATAATAACTGGGAATGAAACGTGAATTATGTATCAAAACATCATTAAGAGAACACTGCGAACCCAGGCAACCTGCCGCATCCACCTCTAAATCGAGTTTGAGCTTGAGAATGCTGTGTATATGGTGGATGCCCAAGGACCAACACATTATGAACTTTTGAAAAGCAAAGAAAGCTCAATTTGGAGATATAGGGTCAGCAAATGGTCAATTTAAACAAAGCAGTTAAAAAACAGAGGCCAGCAATGATCAATATGAAGCACATCATGATAATGCCAGATTAAAGGCTGCTTTGGTGGCTCGTCAAAAAATCACACAGTCAACCTCGGAAATTCTGTCACCATCATCACACTCCCCAGACATAGCATCCCCTGATTACTACTCCCTTGCAAAAATTTTTGAAGGGAACCAAAAAAAAAAAAAAAAAAAAAACTGAAGCAGATGTCAGCTAAGCACTACTTGCTTCTAAGGGCAAGACATTTTTTTAAATATGGTATCTACAAATTACCACCATGCTGGTAAAAGATCACAAGTAACAATGGAAATGATACTATACAATACATATTAATATTAAAGGTATGAAAAATGTATTATTTTCTTTTACTTCTCAAATAGACAGAATTTTCTGGAAGATCTTTCATATATATAATATATATATCAGCAAAACTCACTTTCACAATGCTTTTCAAAGCACTAATAAGACCAACAATTATTTAGTCATATATTGCCCATAAAAATTCATTTTAATTTATATATGTGTGTGTGTGTAATTATGGCAAAGCCTCTCGAGGGCTATCTGCCTAAGAGGAGGGATGCCTTCGTGGAGGACTTTCTAAGGGAAACTGGCTCGTATTCACGTTACACATGGGGAAATTTTAATTTATATAAATTTATTGATTAATGATTTTTAATAATCTTTACTTAAGAAAATGATCTCATGGAATTAATAATTTATACTTTTAGTATATTTTATAATTCAAGAATAAATAGAAATGCACTTAAAAAATTAGTATATACTGAAATAAATACTAAAAATGTCTATTAAACTGTAACCAGAAACTTACTTTTAAATGTGAAGCAGCTAGATTATTATACACTTTGATTCTTATATCTACAATTTCCTGGGATTGTTCAGTAGAAATTCCAGAACACTTGAAAATTAAAAGAAAATTATTGGATACTTATTAAATTAAAAGATACTAATAATTTAATGATTCATAAATAATATACTGCTCCTTCCTTCATTAAGTAACTAAACCAAAAATTTCATTAAACCTTATTTCACGCATATCAACTACAGAAAATAATGCAATAAAATATTCACATTAAAATGAAAACTTCAGAACAGCAAAATGAGATTTATGCCAATCAGAAAACACACACCTATACATACGTATTTAACTATAAAAATAAAATAATTCCCAAAATTCCTTTTTATGATAAAATTGAATACATACAATTGCAATATTTAACAAAAAAACATTAATTCAAAATTTTTGAATACTACAGAAAATGTTACATTTCTAATTTTAACAGTGTCTTGTCTTCACAACAAATACTAAAAGTAATTATACATGAGCATGGCAAAAATCTTGCTACAGTTAAGGACTACTTGCAATTTGTATATAAAACATACCTTTATGCATAAAATTAAATCCTATCAGCATAACAACATTTAAATTACATGGAAAAAAATCTACAGAATTCAAGAATGCAAATCTTAAAACTTAAACAAATTCTCACAAATGATATGTTCACCAAAAAAATATATATAATAGTAGAAATGCCTGAAATGATGGCATATGACCTACTGCTTGTTATTTATGAAGCATTCCACCAAAATGCTTCAAATAACTATGATACCAAAGAGTTATATTTAAAAATCTTATATAACATAAATTCCAAATAATAAATAACTGTTCACTTCACAGATTACATTACAAAATATATCAATAAATTAAATCCAAATATTTAAAGTAAAGCCTGAAACAAGACTCTTTACATCTAAATAAGTAACAACCACATAACGTAGTAGAACCCCAATCACCTAAGTTAATGGGGGAATAATACTAACCCTTATAACAAACACTCTCATAAAGCAGAACACTACAGTGATTTTCTATTAAAACCTTTCATAAATTTATATACCAGAACTCCTTCTTTCAATGAATTTTACTCACAAAAATATAAACACCTGCATTTGTTTTTTATGGTTTAAAAATGTAAAACAGTTTTAAGAATAAAAATATATTCTGTTCCAGTGAAATTTTAACATGAATGACTTCATCTCATTTGAAGTCAAACATGAAGGCAATCAAGAAACCAAATAATTATTCAAAACACATAATATATGGCATTAGAAACATTCTTTTATTAACTATCATAATGTTGCCAATGTTAATTAAAATCATGACTTGGGTATACTATAAACTATATCAGTAAGTTAGGAGACTAGATATGAGACTAGAATATTAAGAGATTTAAATTATTAAGAACTGTATTTGTTCTTTTAAATCACTCAATTTGTTATGCAACAACTTATAATCTATAAAATTTATCAAATATGACAACCCTCTGAGAACTGGCTATTAAATGAAAACCGGCACTTGTTAAACAACAGGTTAAGCTGTAACAGTCGCCAATCTAATTTTGCTGATAATTTCATTCCTCAGAAGCAAAAACAGCTGCAACTTAGAAAACAACAGCCATATTAACAATTGCCCTTAGAAAAAAAGTTTTCATACTTTATATTATGCCCAAAGGGACCTTTTTTTAATGTTATGTGTGTTACCTTTATTTATTACATACTATGTTCTTCACATTTATGCCACAAAATTCAATTTAACAGTAATATCACAAAATAATTTAAAAAGAGCATATCTTTAGAATTTCTGATACATAGTCTTGTGCGCTCAAGACAATTTTTTTCCCCGTACAGTGTTCCCATTGCTCGATTTGAAATCATTAAGTTTGCAAAGCAAAAATACATTAAAGTGTTACAAAATATGAAATAGATACTAAAGCAAATTCCATTGTTTGGTGCCATTGCTCGCTTTGAAATCATTGCGTTTGCTAAGGAAAAGTTCATTAAAGTGTTACAAAATATGAAATAGATAATAAAACAAATTCCAAATTGGGGCTTCCAAATTGCCCATATTCAGGTGGAGAATTACGTTATTCAAAATTTGATGAGACTGTTGTTTTATCACAATGCAAGAAACATAAATGCATTTAAGAAGTTTTTTCATTATTTAATTTCTTTAAATATAATGCAGGGCTCTAACATTTGGTGGCAACAATTTGAAAAGTGATACTCCGTTTACAGTGATTCGACGCAGAATGCCAAAATGAAATTAATACCCCTTCTGGGCTAACGCCCTTTGGACTAAAACAAAACACACACACACACACACCACAAAAAAAAAAAAAAACTATTTGGAAAGTTTGCATATTCTGTTTCAGTTAATCCTACAAATCCATGATGAAAACAAAAAAATTATGCAATAAATTTTGCTACCACAGAAACAAACAAAACATTACATGCTTTTAAAAAATGTGCTACCAATTAAAAACATGGCTGCTACAGGCAACACAAAGACACACATTTTTGACAAGTTATCACTTATTTTGGCAATTACCATATCTCTGTGTACACATAACAAAAAAATACATAAAAATTTTATGTGCCTCAAAACGGTAAAATTTGTCAGGTTGTATAAATGCTAAATATGCAGATAATGTAATGTTATGATATGTAGCAGGTATATACCAACCATGTAACTAGGCAAAAATCCATTCATATGATGCAAAAAACTGATAAACTTTCACTAAAAATACTTCTTTATACAAAAATGATTTTGTAACATATTACATTTTATTAAAATATTAAAAATGCAATTTTAAAATGAGTTGTTTTTAAACAGTTCTTTTGTCACAGTGCTTCATAGTCAACTTGATGTAAAAATGCAAGATGAAAGGTTTTATCTTAAAGTGCTAGTTTGATGAAATTTATATTTTTGTGAGACACCTTAAGCGGATTTTTGAAAACTAGTAATGTAGTTATGGCAAAGCTTTTAAGAATTAGAAGAAAACAATACACTTGTAAGTCAACCTCACACAATTTGAAACCTCAGTTAACTGGGTTTCTACCCTGTATCATTCATACAATGGAGTGTCTTGCATTGAAAACACATTACTACAAGAGATCAGACTCACCATTTATTGAACAAGAAAGTGCTGAAAAATGAAAGAATTTATATCAAAAATACTAATATAATCAACAAATTTAAACATGCTGACTGATCTAAAACAGAAATTTTTCAGAGGAGTTACAAAACTATACTTACATCTCTTACTCCATCTAAATACTCAGCTGCCCTAAATAATAAGAATTTTATAAGATTAATTATAAAATGTCTCAAAGATACACTTTTTATGAAAATGAATGTAAAAAGATCAAACATGATGTTGCAATGCTTAATTCTAAAATACTTTAATAAAAATGTTCAAACCACAGCAAAAATGTTATATTACTGTTTTCAGTCAGATGTTAAGTAGTTCTAGTTTCATAAATTTGATACTAATTTTGGTTAAAATTGCTGCTTGACAGAAATTTCTCATATGATGGTTTCATGTGTTGCTTAAACGAATTTTAAAACATAATTTCTTAATAGAAACATAAAGGACAACTAAACAGATCAAGAATTTAAAATACTTCTTTAATGACCTGCATTTTATGTTTCACAATAGAAAAGCTAAGTAAAGTAATACATAAGAAAAAATGTGCTCATTGCCATAAAAATCTGTGCATCAAAAAGTAATTCTTGGATCAAAAACAATACCCAACAAGAAGGTAATTATCAGCAGACATGCCAAATGATTAGAAATACAGCATGATTATGCATTTTTTAGTGACATCGAGATATTGAACTTTGCTCCTCCTAGTGCATAAAAAATCCTCCTAGTGCATTTCTATAGAAGATGAAGTGAGGCATTTTGCCTGCACTTCATCTTCTATAGAAAAATGCTTTTTCTCTAAGGATAATGGCCATCAAAGAAAATATGAACAGCTATAAGAGTTTGAAAGGGGGAAAATTGAGATGACTGATTCTATGTGTTCAGCTAGGCGAATAATCAGCTACTTAGGTTAATCACTGAACTGACATTACAATGAGGAGGTGATGGCCGCTACAGATGACAGAGAAGTCAAGTTAAACAGCAGTCGAACTCAGAATCCGTTCAGCAAACCAACAGCTGGATAAGACTGTTATATCACCAAATAAGCACACATAGAACCAACTGAATCACTGTCCATCATTCAGACACAGACAGCACTTTTAATATAGGCTCCTATATCAGCTTATACCATTACAATATGTTTTGTATTTGCAGGACATTAGGTATTTGCAGTGCCCATTACACGTACTGCTAGTGACAGCCACTCACTGGTGAATCTGTTTAAATGGGTGTCACACTCAACAGGATTGGACGAGATCATCTAATGGCAAGTATATATATGTGTGGAGATTCCGCAGTGAATGCTCAATTCTGCCTTTGTTTTATAATAGCACACTACTCTTACAACTGGTGCAATGGTATAGGGAGCCATCACATACAAAACCCAGTCACATCTAATATTGATCCACAACACCATAATAGCCCAGAAGTATGTTTGTGACATCCTTCATAGCTACATGTACTGTCACTGATGGCAAAGATCATAACAGGCATTTTTCAACAGAATAATGCTCAGCTAAACACAGCAAGAGAATCACATGAATACCTCCAACATATTACTATTTTTCTCTGGCCTGTCTGATCTTCAGATTTACTATCAACTGAGAATGGCTGGATCAGAGATGGCAAGGTGGAGAGCCTAGGAGATCGGTTCAACAAGAGGCATATTTACAGCAGTGGAGAATGAGATGGCATGGAACCTGTACATTTTAATGCTCACCTTTATCACATTACGTATTCATGTTAGGAATAGCTCAAAAGGGTAGCAGAACCTCCATTCATTTGTAGCCTTTCTTGTAATGACTGATCCTTTGATTTTGTAATCAGTTACTTATATCAATGTCCCACTTGCATATACAAAATTTCATTCAGGTTCTACAGGTTTGGTTGCAAAGTAGATGCGACACAAACAGCGTCATAAAATCAAATTTAGGTGTGGTTACAGATCTTTGTCAACCCAGCAATGAGTAACTTTGCAGAAAATGTTTTGGCAACTAGTAAAAATATACAGTAATTTTAGTAAAACAAACCTATTCAATCTAGTACAACTTAAAAAAATTTGACATTTTTATACCTCAAGCATATGGTTGAAATTATTGTGCGTCATAAGCAAAATCAGAGTTAGTAATGTAACGACAAAACCTACTTCTGGCTCAACTACAGTATAAGAAATTTCAAGAAATATTGCAGCTTATAGCATCATAATTTAGAATATGTAAAAAATTATAACATGCAGTCAAAAGCTTATAACAATGCAGAGTAGTATATAATAAAAATTCGAACAATTTCATGAACATTGTTTTAGAAAGTCTGGAAGTATATTAAGGACTTAAGATAAATCTCTTCAAACGTACAAACAAGAATTTTGTGAATTCAAAACTATTATTCAAAAACAACAAAATTTGTTTCAGTTATAAAACACTGGTCTTAATCTTCTTTTTAGATTCATTTGAAGAATGCATAAAACAACTGTTTTTAAAATAATAAATGTATAAAGTAAAAATTTCGGTACTTTTCCGTTTTGCCGGTGGAGGTGATGAAGTCACCAGTAATGGTACAACTGACGCCAAATGGAATATCTTCACTGGTAACCTTTTACGCTTCATTTTCAAAACAAGTCGCAGCCATTTCTTATCAGATTCATTGTTCCTTTCAATACTGGCATACAATTACATAGAATTTTTACAAGATAGTTAATTTCATACCCTAAGACCATTTGCGGTAATTAAGTCAATTAGGATGCAATCACCCACCACCGAAGGCAAAATATAGAAAAGGCAAAGTCAAGGGTTAATCATCAATTCTAATGAGAATGCACTAAGTAAAGCACTGCGATTATATAATTCTGAGCACGCTATTCATATAAATTGAATAATCTTGCATTTAAACTTTTATTCCAAATTAAGATTTAACTTGAAATTAATTAGATAAGTACTAGGAATCAGATTTTGTAATGTAGTTTTGTGAGATGGGGTGGTGACATGAACCGCGAATCAGGATGTTGACCATGAAAGCAAGTAAATTCTTAAAGTCATGTATTTTACAAATTTATTGGCTTTTTACAAAAATTTTAACGATATTAAAATGTTTATGCCTTCAAAATAAAAAATTCTTAGAACTAACATTCGTTAACATTTTTTATTGGTGTAATTGAATGTTGTCGCCAATAAAGTCTGCTTGGCGAGATTTGCGCCGGCGAAATGGAAAAGTACCAAAATTTCAATTAGTTGAACTGAGAAATAATTTTAATCTTTCATAAAACAGAACTTTTAATTCCCTCAACTGCCTACATTAATAGTTAATTCTCAAGCCTTTTTTCACACTGTATCCCTTGGTCATGGCTTTTAAAGACAAAGCTTTTCAAATAATTTTCATAGCTTTCTGGCAAATTAGTGAAGTAACAGGAAAGGTCACTTTTAATAAAAGTATTTCAAATGAAACAAAATTAAGATTTTTACTTTTACTGAGAAACCTTAGAATCGCATTAAAATATTATAAATATAATTTTATTGTAAAATAAACAAGTTTTTAATATTTTATTAAAAATGTTTCAAAAATAATAATCAACAATTCAAATTAACTAAGAACCGATAGAAGTTTGATGCTAAACTTGGCTAATCTATAATCTTTTCAATGCACTCCTACGTAAAATACACTGAAATGCTACCAAATTAGGAATACAACATAATACAAATATTGTGGCACTGCAGCCTCATGTGAGAACATTGCTGCAGAATATATATATAGCTTGAAGACATAACATATATATAGTCCTCTCTATGCAAATATCAAAAATGACATAAGTGAAAACTTCCAGTTTAGACATCTTCGTTTACACTTAACATAGTAATTTAATTTTTAATTTATTTTAATTTTTATTTTTTTATCCCCCCCCCAATTTTACAGTATTAAGAGTATGGACAAGAGAAACACAATCAAATCATAAAAACAACCTTGTATTAGCAAGTATATGGAACACTCATGATTTCGAGGGCAGCTAAAGATCCTCCTCATCAGGAGAAAGAAATACTAGAAAGAAAAAAATAAAGAAGGGGTCTCAAAAACACGGGTCCTTATCAGCCTGCACGTGGTTATAACCGATTTTAATAACTGGCTGCCTACTTTTACTGAGCAGGTTATTGATCAAACATGTAACACAAAGGGCAAGAAATAGCGAAGTTAAAAATAGGGAGTGGGGGCAATGCACCTTCACGCTCAAAATCTGAACTTCGAATAATGGAAGCAACCACTGAACGGATTTTATCCCTCTGGTAGTACCAAACGGGTGAGGGGGTAACGCCATCGGCAAAAATAACTGAATTAAATGTAGAATTTTAAAGGATTAGAAGGATTGGATTGGACTTCAAATCATTAACTAAACCTGCTAAACTTGTGAATAAGAAAAGCCCAAGAAAATACAATTCACCTATGGAAGAAGCCTTTCGATAATTTTTGCAGACCCAAAGTCAAATTATGGTAAATGTCCAAATAGATAGCTATTGAGACTAAATTTTGCCTTCTGACATAAGATTCATGTTCCTTGATACGAAACTTCAACGCTCTTTTTTTTGGCCAATATATCTTAAACCACTGATACAAATACTATAAATTCCCCAAGAATTAAAAGAAAACGCAATCTTTAGAATCGAGGATGATTTTATTAATAGGGGAGAACCGACTTAAAATTGAATTTCTGGAGAATGCGTGCAATTTTAGCTAATAGAAGGATAAAATGGAAGCACAACAAGGCATTAATATTATTTCTAGCATGGAGTGTTCTTTGATGGGAATCTGAAAATTTTTTAATGGCTTTCAATAATCACGGGAGAAATCCATGGTCAATCGTAACGCTCTCAAATAATTAAGTATGGTAAGCAAAGATTCAGAGGAACAAACTTTTAAGCGCGCAGAATACATAATAGTAAAAGAAGCCATTTTTGTGTTAAAGGGGGCATCATTGGCATGGGGTGTCAACAAAGGTTACGGTACACAGTAGTGCTAAAAGCAGTTTCATGCGGATCATAAGATATCAAGGAAGGGGAGGAAAGTTGGATTCAATTTCAAGAGTGAATTGGATGGCTGGATCAATTGAATTCATAATAGATAGATCTTGGATAAATCCTCTTTATAACCGCCAAAAAGTGCCAAAGTGTCGTCAACATACCGAATCCAAAGACGAAAACATAGTTTATCAAATAATTTCATCTCAAAATAGTGCATATAAATGTCAGCAAGTACCAGACTTATACTTACACTAAATACAAGGTTGTTTTTACGATTTTGATTGTCACATTAGCATGTTTCTCTTCTAGTCTAAGAGAACACAAATTATAGAAATGGAGAAATCACAAAAACTGTAAAAGAGAAGAAGTCTTGAATGAATGTGGTCTTTGAACATTAACTATATCATATGTAGACAGGGATATCACTTTATATGTGGGATTCGGAGGCCACCCATGAAAGTGACTCTTCTCAGTGCCTATGTTATATGTTTATTATGAGCCATGACTGTATCACTGATGCTGTGACTGTATCACTGACAAATGGAAGCAAGTAGCATAGAGTAATTAGTCTCAATTCCAACTGTATCATGCTGACGGTAGGCTAAAAATATGGTGCCAGCTTTGTAAGGCAATGACAAGGTAGTGTGCCAGGTTAGAAATGAACAAGGTCATAGTAACTCAGTGATGGCCTTAGAGTATTTTCTCTTGGATATGTCTGGTTATCTTTGGTAGTTGTACCCAGCACTCTCATTGAATCTAAATATGTAATCAACTGGACAGTCCCTTAACATCCTTTATGTTTTTCTGCCATTCGAATTGAAATGAAATATATCAGAAGGACAAATTTGCCCTCTCAAAGATCCTGGTTAGCTACTATCTGGTTCAAAGAGCACTCCACTGAATTCTCTCTGCTGAAATGACCATCAAGAAGCATGGACTTAATCCCATTAAGCATCTTTGCAACATTTTGGAAAAAGGTGTAAAATGATGCATCCTTAATTGATTTAAGGAAAATTTTAGAAGACGTCTGGCAAGCCATGATTATGAAACACTTTTGCAGATGCAATGAATTCTATAACCAAAGTGGCAGCAACTCATTTCTAATCAGGTATCTTGAATTCAGGTACACTTAAGTGTATTTTTCTTAATTTAAACTGAAAATCTATTATAAAACACTAAATTTAACCTTTTTTAAAAATTAGATTCCAAATTATAGAAAAAATGTCCAAATAACAGAAAGACATACAATACCTCTCATAACAGTGGATACTGTCAATATATTGACCACGATCATAGAAGAAATTACCTCTAATACGTTTTTCATTCCTAAAACGTAAAAAGATTCCTTTCATTTTGTGCATATGCATAAACAGATTTTAATATGCTTAAAATTCAAATTTTGAGCTATTTTGAACTTATGAAAAATCATTAACTAACAACATTTTTAATTATATTCGCAAAGCAAACATAAGAATCTAGATGTGATAATTTAATATGTGAAAATTTAATATAAGTCACACAAAAACTGAAAAATTTCAGTATGTAAATGAATTTTAAAATTTTAAAAATATTTTCCTATTATTAAAAAGTAATTTTAGGATTGCATTAAATGAGAAATAAATTCTAAAAATATTTATTTATTTATAAAATTAAGATTACCATGTATATGCTGCTAAGCAAATACAACAAATGCATTCACAGAAATAATAAATTAAGTAGCTAAATATTAAACAAACCTGTAAATTTGATATAAAAAATATACATCCAAAAAATATACTCAACAAAGGACACTCAAAACTTTTTTAATCTCACTATAAAATAAATTTTACACTTGAAGATGCTTATTAAGCAAAAACACAAACGACTTCCATTTTATCAGTCATGTCTCTCAGTTTCTATTAATTTTCTCTTGTTTAAATTTAGACAGCTCAGGTTAGAAATAAAACAAAAAAAGAGAGAGATGAAACTATAAAAATAAGCATTAACATCTCAAAACAAAATATATACTTTACAAAGTTTTATGCCAATTAACCCCCTTTTACAATCTGAACATTTACTACAGTGAATGCTCATTAATTCGAGCCAATCCCTAAAAAAACTTGTATTGGAATTAATGTTATGAATGGCACCTCATCCTAACTAGCATGGTTTTTAAAATATGGGAGCATTCACCGAACTTTTCAGATGCACATTGTATAGACAATTTTCTCTTAATATGAATAATAACAAAAATATTAGTAATTAAACTGGTTTTAGAGTAGCATTTCAGAGATAGCAACTTTTTCCAAGAGAAGAAAAAATTCACCAAATCTTCTTAATTCAGGAAAATGGAGTCGCAGGTTTTAAATAGAAAAAGTTAAAATGAATTGCGACAATGATGCAACCTCCTTTTTTTGGGGGGGAAGGGCCAACTAGTGATTTAATGCTACAGTCAGAATTCAAAGCATTGTTAAGCTTATAAGGTATTTCTCCAACCTTCTTGGCGAGCTTTCGTGGTCTGCACGCTCAGTGCATAATTGAGAGGTTCGCGGTTCGATTTCCAGCGAAGGCGGTGCTAATGTTTCAACTCTCTGGCTTCGAGAAAACCCTAATGTTTCTATAGTGGCGCCCTAACTAAAAGGGTGTTGGATGATGATTTTCCTCACCCAGAATTTGGCGAATGGATCCCCTAAAAAACCCCAGTTGCTTTTTAAAAAGAGAAGTATATAAGGTATTTCTCCCCCCTTCTTAACGAGCCTTCGTGGTATTAGTGGTCTGCATGCTGGGCGCGTATTCCAGAAGTCTGCGGTTCGATTCCCAGCGAAGGCGATGCTAATTTTTCATCTTGCCTCCTTCCAAAAATACCTAATGTCTTTACAAGTGGCACCCGAACTAAAAGGATGTTGGATGATGATTCTCCTTACCCAAGATTTGGCGATTGAGTCCCCTAAAAAAACCCCAGTCACCCTTTACAAGGGGGAGTATATAAGGTATTTCTCCCACTTTCTTGGTGGCCTGCATGCTCAGCACATAATTGAGAGGTCCGTAGTTCGATTCCCGGCAAGGTCGTTGCTAATTTTTCATTTCTCTGGCTTCGAAAAACTCCTAATGTCTCTACAAGCTATTGTGTTCACATATTTGAAATCTGAGAATGATGAAGTAAGCTTGAAGAAGAGAAAAAACTGCTAAAGAAATGCAGTCTTAAAGAAAAGGAACTGTGAATGCTTTTTTATATTTTGTTAAGACAGACATACAGAAATGAATAAATAAGCAAATAATGTTTTTACAGATAAAATTTAATTTCTTTAAATGCTAGCACATCAATGGAGATACTATGAATAAAATATATGGCATAATTAGGATTATTACTTTCATAAACAAAACGTATTTATATTGCAATACAGTATTATTATTATTCTATCATTTTTTACACATTGACTAGCTTTTTAATATATAGTAGGAAAGGTGACCAGACGAAAGCCCACTGGACGAAAGCACACACGACAAAAGCCCACAAAAAAGGACCCCACTGGGATAATTGCCCATGCGACTAATGCCCACACTGATGAAAGCGCACATTGATAAAAGCCCACACAGATAAAAGCGTACATAGATATAAACACATGCTGATAAAAGCCCACACTAACAAAAACCCACAGCGATATATAGAACGTTAAAATTAATATTTTTTCCCCTTTTTCTTTAGCTTCACAAGGCAGATTCATGAATAAAGATAAAATAAAAAATAAATTAAATTAATAAGAAATAATTGAACAATAAATTTAAGTAGCGGAACATTTCACTTTGGGCTCTGGCTGAATTAAAATCCTATATGTATATAGAACTGAGAGTCAATAAAAATAATATAATTAAATACATGTACGTGTAACTTTGTTTTATATTTACGCGACAAATGGAAGTGCCCTCGTTAAGTCCGACAAAGGGAGGTGAAAGGGAATACTGGCCACACTGCTTCTTTTAATTCTACAAAATTATAAGGAGTATAAAATGTATGCAAATTTTCACCATATACAGAGAATAATTTATGAATAATTTAACACTGCAGAAAATTTTGCATGTTAATATGGAGAATTAAAGTCGCACTTTCATTTCAATGAAAAAAATAAAAGTACTGTATTCTATTATAATTAAGAAAACATTTAAGTGTGCTATCACAAACACTGTTTTAATGGGGAATTAAAAGCACGGTTTCAAATAATCTAGTTAAATTTTGACAACTTGGATTTTACATAAATTAATTTCATTCCCACTTGAAATTTCATTTTTAATCATAATAATTATTACTCATCAAATTTTCCAGGAAGTCATAGCTATTTTGGATTTCCTGAAAATGTGTGCTGTTTTGAAGTGAGCATTTGTCTTGTGGGCTTTTGTCATGCAGTTTTCTAACTGGCCGTTGGCTATTCCGGGAAACCATTGCATTCCTTTTCTTTTGCCCTCAGCTGTGTGAAAAAGCAGTTAAAGAGAGAAAAGCCTCGCTTAATTGCTTTATCTCCTATCGAACATTTCCATCATAACAGCATGGCAAATTTTTAATATACTCATGACTTTTCTACGAATAACAGTGAAAAATATGAATTGACAATAAAATTGTGTAATCGATTATAATGCAATGACAAGTGCAGAATTTAAGAGGTAATACAACTTATTTAAAATTTTTAGGATGTTTAAAGTTTAAAAAAAGAATCATATATCTTGATTCTAATTTTTTTTTTTACATAAAATCAGAATATATTTATTGTATATACCTTGATAAAATAATTTTCCCTTGAGAGAAAGGACTACCAGCTGGGGGCAGGGGGGCTGATCTATGTTATGTTCAAACTAGCATTTTTCTAGAGAAATTTTATCACAGGGAGTTACAGTGAGAATGCAGGAAAAAGGATGGATGAATTATGATCTCATTGTGGATTTAGCTGCAATCGATGGAAATTATCAGTAACGGTAAGTGGGTTCCAAATATCTATAACACTACAAAATACTTCTCATTTTAAACTGAAACTTTAAGATATTTTCACTTATTTATTTCCTTCCATTTATTTATTTTAAGTTCATTTACTCCAATTAATGAATCAGTGTTCTTACTAGTTGCTGAACTGCCTTCTAAAGTGTATGCATTTTGTTAAAAATCTTCATCAATATCCACTTGGCAAAAAAAAAAAAAAAAAAAAAAAAAAAAAAATTACTTACATAATCAATTTTTTTTTTCATCTTTGAATTTTCAGATTCAATTAAAAAATTTAGTTTTTCTAAAAAGCTTTGTATCTAGAACATGCAGAAGAAGTTGCTATTCTTACTTCTTTAGTCATTTCAGTGATGAGAATAACTCTACAGAACGATATATTATGCACTCAGATATATCTTATACATAAGATAAAACTTTTAAACTGCCGATTTTCAGAAGACAAAATAGAGCAAAACTGCAAAGGTATATTAACAATCAGTTGTTAATTTATCCACATAATTATACTTAATATCAGCTTAAGAAACAGCTTCACAAAACCTGTCATTAAAAAAATTTTACCCTGAAATAAAATGGATGTGATTAAAATTCTCTACAGCAGGATTTATAAATTTCTCAAATTTTTGTAATTTAAAAAAAAAATATTTACCTTCCACATATATATAGTAAGATAATAGAATGCCAAGTAAATTATAGCTGCAAATGTCAATTGAAGTAAACTTGAATATTTAATCTTATTCAGCTGCCAAGTTTCCTTTTCAATATGGATCTACAATCTACACCATCAACACAGCTATGTCCTCTTCACCACAATATTACTATGTCTTTTTCTGTCTTAATTGCATATATACATATATATATTCCTAAACATGAAACATCAACAATAAATGAAAAAAGGAGCCTAATAATACTTACCCTAACTTTAGCCTTTCAGATACTGTAAGAGAATCTTCCTCAATACTTTCAACTTCTTTTAGTTCTAAATCACATTCTATATCTGAATTTGGTGGCACATCTGGTGTTCTAAAAAAAATGTTATATGAATGCATATTTAATAGTTTTAGCACTTTAAAATCACTATTAAAAACAATGACTTCAAACATTCTTGTTATTTTAATTTTGCCCAATAGAATAAGATACAGCAGCATTTAGAAAATTATTTGATGTTATGCGACTTACCGCCCAATTTCACCATATGCTAATTTAGATGGAATTACAACACGAGCCTTTTCTCCTTTCTCCATTAAGCAAATAACTAAATCAAGACCTATAAACATAAAAAGGCAACTATAATTTCAGTTAACACCAAAGTGTAGTAAAGGAACAACTCTTTTAACTCTTTCGCATTGACAGAGAGGACCAAATTGCTTTTCCTCAAACATCGAAAATGCCCGTGTATACGAATTTCTCTTGGAATGGTTTTCCTTCCCCCCATGACAAGTAGAATACTACATTGCTGACAATAACCTACTTAAATAAAGCAACAACTTCTTTCTTGGATGCTTTCACCCCATTTGAAGTTTCCCCTAAGGGCAGGATGCAATTTCAGACATCAATAGCTAAACATCGACAGTAAACGAAGGAAAAACGAGGTGCATTAAAATAACAGAACTACTTTTAGTCACTTCAAAAGAATGATTGGCATGTCATTTAGCAACTCCTGAAAGCAATGAACAGTGCAGTAATGTGATGGGAGAAAGCACTAGGTAGGAAATGATTCAGCCATTCAGGCAACCTGCCGATGTCTGAATGGTCAGGCATTTTGGGCAACTTCAATACGAAAGAGTTAAATCACTTAATAAAAAAACAGAATATGTCAACTGCAATTTAAAACTAACAGATATGTTTATTAAACGAAAATGTGTTTGTATATCTTTATTAAGTTAAAATACATATAATTTGTATATTAATATACAAGCTTTGTTTACACATCATGGAAATTGTTTAATTAGCACACAATACAATAATAAAGGTTAAAATACATTAAGTTTTAAGAATAATTTGCACCACAAAAAAGCCCAATTTATGAGGAAATGCCCCAAAGTCCAAATGGATAACAAAATCAATAACTTTATTCTTTCTTTTTATGTTTCTTTATGTTTGTTTTTATTCTTTCAGATGCTGTTACGCACTTTCTGAAAACAAATCATCTTGTCACTTTCATTTTAAGACATACATTTCAGAGCTCTGTATATTTTAGTTTTTACCTCCTGCCAACCTGTACACAGGTAAGAGAGGCAATATTTTTGGTCCAAAAAATCAATAATGAGTTTGCAGCATTAATTTATTGTTTGCAGCATTGAATTAGGATCCTTAAAGGCCCGTCCACATGAGAACACTCGTGAAATAGTTGCCGCTACTTTTTTTGCCAGCGTAAATTCGCATTACACAGAGGACATAAACCGGAGTTTGTGTGTGTTCAGCATTTTCAACAGTGACGTGGCCGAACAGCCAATAGCTGACCGAGTTCTTATCATGTCATAATTGGAAAAAACTTCTTGTCTGCCCTTTTCAATATGACGTTGGAACCACAGAGTGATCAGCTTTAGTTTAAAGAGATTCTAACTGTTCACAGTAATTAAAACCATCAGCAATGTTTACAGCATCCTCAATTCTCTCAAACCATATACATTGGTAGAAATTTCAAATTTTCTTTAAAGGGAAATAATCTTATATATGTAAAGCAATAATTTGACCAATATATCCATATGCTTCACCTGTATGTAATAACGTAAGCAACTGGAACCTTAATAAACTTAATTTCTAAGAAATGAAATTCTCTGCCTTACAAAATTCTCCTTATTTCCAAATTTCGATTTATCACTAGCTTTTGAAATGTGTTTCTTATATTTAGTCATCAATCACTTGATTCTTATTTAATCTATTATTGTTGTTTACAATTATCATTATTGTTTACAACTCTTACTTATCTATTAAAAATGTTTGCTATTTTATGCGTAACAAAAAGCTTTGTAAGTATCTCAATACTAAATATATCAAAAACTAACTTCAGCTAAATAACTTCTAAAATAAAACGTTTTTCTATGAAAGAATATTCAATAAAATACAGCTATGAAATTTTTGAGAACAATTACAGCCTGGGCCACAGAACTCAATTATCACAGATAGCTGAGTGATCAAGCAGAAGAAAAGTTATGCCAAAAATTCTATTCATCTGCTACACACGATGTAGGGCGATGCCTTGGTACCTGCATATGCGACTTCATCACCTAAACACATGCGATATTACAAAGGGAAAAGTAATGAGTTCAAAACCTCACTCGTAACCACTGTAATACAAAGCTTTTCCCCTTCTGCAAATTTCAATTTATCACTAGCTTTTGAAACATGTTTCTTATATTTAATCATGAATCACTTGATTCTTATTTTATCTATTATTATTATTGTTTACAATTCTTATTTTATCTATTATTGTTTACAATTCTTATTTTATCTATTATTATTATTGTTTACAATTCTTATTTATCTATTATTATTGTTTTCAATGTACTTGAAAAATATGCAATATACATAGAAACGATTAACCCATTATGTAATGATACATCTGCATCTCTTGTATAAATTATATTTTTATTTTTAGCTTGTTGCATATTTTATTCTGTACATAGTTTTTACATGAACTGCCCAAAATTTGAACCTCATTCTGAAATCAAAATTAAAAAATATACATAGATAATAAAATAATTTACAAATTAATTTGGTCATATAAGGACCATCAATCAACTTCCAACATAATAAACATTCTGAGCTTGTGAAGATATTTAGTGGCAATATAAAACAGTAAAAAACACATTTCGATAAAGACAAATAATGAATTTATTCACTGAATGTTTGGAATAAAGAATTATTACTAGAATAACCATACAATTTTAACATTACTAAAATTTTTCGATCATCATCTGAATATCTTGTACATTTAGCGAAAAGAAAAATACTTAAAGATTTACAGGCAATTTTCTTACAAAACCTTTTAATAGAATAAATGCAAATGAATGCTATTATTCACATCTGATATTCATAAGGCATAAATATTTTAGCAGGGTATAATTACTCTAAGTTGTGTTTTACTTTAATTAAATGCATAGTAATTCAGAAATATTATTTTAAAAAATTAATACAGAAACTGATGGCCTTTCAATTTACAGAAATAAGCAATCACTTAGAAGTACTAAACATTTAAATATAATACATTAAAATTTTTACTTCTTTACATTAAAGGGCATATTCTTTTTTTTTTTTTTTTTTACAGAAAAATTACTTAATTTTAATCTTTTGCTGTGAATGTAATTTTCTTATAATCCATTAAATTTAAATTTCAGTAAATTTTATTGGATGAACTTTTTTTCCTTATTTAAATGTGTAATAAATATATAGAGAATATTCAAATCATAAAACGCTTTGCTTATTAAACGAATTCCTTTACATGTATTCCTATACAACACATAATGTTTCATTTCTTAAATACGTTAAATCGAAAAGCAAATTTATATAAGTTTTGTGTAAAAAGACTGAACACTACATTTTTAAAGTTATTTTGGCAGATTAAAACATGTATCAGGAACATTTAAAAATTTCACTTAACGATCTAAAGTAATATTTAGAAAATAAAAGCACATAGCACAATTTTAAAAACACGTTGCTTGAAATTTATATAATAAAAAAAATTACTTAATTTTGGAAAATGATGTTCCTCAGATTCAAAGTATTTTCCATACAAATTTGAATTTACTAATTCATATACAAATAATGAAGAGTTTTGCTACAAACGTGGCTTATTTATACCCTCATTTATTTATTTATATTTTGAATTTAAAAAACTAACATATCATATAATAAATATAATAGAAGAGTTTTGCCTTTTTAATCGAATACAGTGGCTTTCTCATCACCCGAATTATGACCTCATTTATTTATTATATATTTGAGAAGTATTAAAAAACTATAATACTGATATTTAAAAATGTGTAGCATCTTCATTTTGTAAGCAGTGATTAAAAGTAATATAGAATAACACAAATTTATTGTATGCTGTTTAATACCGCTTAAATAAACAACATTCTGTTTCTGTTCAAGAGCTGCAATATAAATACTATGTGGCTGAAAGTATGTTGTCCGTCAAATTTTTATTTGACTCTAATTTATTAATGCATTATTATGTCCTACTAACATTGAAAATATTGGAAAATGTGGATTAATATTGAATATTTAAATAAAGAATCATTATCACTTGAAACTTTGGATATTTAAGACAAAGCTGTAAACCATACTTTTTGAAAATGAAAATATTTTTCTTTTTGAGTTTGAATTATCTAGCTAACATAAGGCATCAAAGAGCTCTTAGTTTTCAGAAAATGAGCAATACTGGCAACAATTTTACAATAAATATTATACGATTAGACATAATTAATCTAAGAACATGAACATATTACATGAAAGTAGCTTTTTTTTTCTCAAAGAACATTATGCTGAAATCTCAATCATCTATGCACAAAATATCAATTTCAGAAATAATTTGTTCATTGTTGAATGATTCACACATTTATATTTATTGAATCTGCATAATCAAATTTTATTGAACTGAATTATTATTGGATATTTTATCGAATTTGCAGAAACAAAGAATTTCCAATGTATTGAATGCTTTGATGAAGATGTACACCAATTTTCAATTCTCATTCTTGTCTTTTGTTTTCAGTTCTGAAACCAACATTGCCAAAATATTTACTTTTATTCTTCAGTTGACGTTTAAAGTTGGCAACAACTAGCAAAATATTTACCTGGTGACAAACATAAAGATAACAAACAGTTATTAAAATACGGAAATTTGCTTCAATAATGAAAGAGGACAGTTTTTGCAAATAATGAATACCTAAGCATTATCATCAACTGCATTCCTATTCCCTACTGAAGCTACCAAACTTATTCTTCAATAATGTATAATTTCATCTAATGCGGATTTGAATATTCTGATACTTTGCAACACTCACAAATTCTTTAGAGTTTTTCAATTTTCAGCAAACCGCACCAACCCATTGTGAAAATAAAAAAACTAAAACCACATTAAAGTTTGTAACTCGTAGAATCAAACAAAACCTTGCAAGTTTCAAAGAAATAATTAAAACAATGCTTGTAAAAATACTGGAACAGCCATTTGAAAAAGGAATGCATTTTCAGAGAGATTATCACTTATTTTCACAATTACTAGATCTATATCTGCAGGATAAAAAAATTCCTATAACTATTTCT